TTCTATATTTTAATACTTTTTTTTATTTTTAATTCGACAATTATCTTCTTTTGCATTTTTTTATTCCATTTTATTTTTATATTTTTTTAAACTTTTATTCGATTTCTTTACAAAATTTTTTTACGTTTATATTCGTTCTTGTTTTATATCCTTGTTATTAGTTTTTAAATTTTTTTTTTAATTTCTATTTTTTATTCCATTTTTAATATTATTTTTTATTTCTTTTTTCGACTTTTATTGTTTTTATTTTTCTACTTGACTTTATTCTTTTTTATGCAATTTTTTAAATTTTTTAAAATATTTCTTATATTCTTTGTTATTATTATATTCGTCTTTTTTATGTCCTATTCGTCTTTTTTATTAGATTTTTTATTTTATTTATTCGACTTTTTCACTCTTTTATTTTTAAAAATTTTTTCAATACTTTAAATAAAAAAAAATATTTTTACAAGATATTTTTCAATGTTTTGTTTATTTCTACATTTTTTAAGTTAAAATTTCGAAATTCTAATATAAAATTTCTAAAATTTTTTTTTTAAATTGTTCTTTAATAAAAAAATTAGGAAAAGATTTTCTTTTTCATAGAAAAATAAAAAAATACACAGCAAAAATTTATTATTTCTATTGTTTATTTTCAAATTGTTATTGTAATCTACAAATATTGTTTTTTTTTCTCCTATTGTAATGTTGCTTCATAAGGCGGACAAGACATGTTACACACACATACATTATCCCAGATGAAAAATTTTTTTCCATTTCTATTCGCATTCCATTCGATTCAATATATTAATTAATTAATAATAATAATAATAATAATAATAATAATTTGGAAAATATTCGAGTAGATTTTTCCGCATCAAATTTTTCATCCGGGACAGACTTTTTTATTTATTTATTTATTTTTATTTTTTTTTCGTTTCGCTACTACACATTTTACATAATTTTTCTCCCATTATAGCATTTTTTAAAAAAGTTTTTTTTTCTCGATTTTTCTCATTGGATTTTTCGTATAAAACAAAATGGCATCTTTTTTTTCATTCATTATTTTGGCGTTTTTTTTTTTTTGGAAGAAAAAATACATTTTTTCAACTTGTTTTTTTTTAAACCCACGTTCGCTTTCATTTTTTCTTTTTCGCACATTTTAAAATTGTAAATTTTATGTCTCATCTTTTTTTTCATTTTTCTTAGTTAAGTTAATATATTTTATTACTTTTACAAATGATTTTTTTTTATTCTTAGAAATACTTTAGCTTTGATAGTTTCGTTTATTTTTATTTTTTTTTATTCATTATACACGTAAATCTCATTAACATTATAATTAATTATTATTAATAATTCATTAACACTATTTTGGCATCGTCTCGTTATTTAATTTTCACGCTTAGTATTTTCTTTCTATTTATATTTTTCTTTATTTTTACGTTTTTAAAACAGTTTTTTAAAAAAAAAAAACAAAAAAATAAATAAATAGAAAAAAGGAAACATTTTAAAGAAAATTTAGGAAAAATATTTTTTTAACAAAATTTGAAGACAGATTTTCAAAACGAAATTTCAAAAAAGATTTTTAAACAAAATTTAAAAAAAAAGTTTTTTTAACAAAACTCTTTTTCAAAAATGAATTAAATTTTCTGTTTTTTACAATTTCTCTTGTGTTAATTATAATAAAAAAAGAAAATTTTTATATGAAAATATTTTTGACACCAAAGGAATTTTTTTTTCGTTTTATTCATTAAACAAAATTGTTTTTGTCAAAAGAAAAAAATTATTCTATTAAAAAAAGAAATTTTTTGGCAGAAGAAAAAATTTTCCTTCCAATCATAAAAGGTTTTTTAACGATAAAAAGTTTTCCTTCTTTCAAAAAATTTTTATTTTAACAAAAAAAATTTTTTCCTTTTGCTAAAATAAGTTTTTAAACATCAAAAACTTTTCTCCTTTTACAAAGAAAGTTTTTTAAGAATAAACAATTTTTTTATCTATAAAAAAAATTTTTCCGTTAAAAACCCATTTTTTTGACAAAAAGGAATTTTTTCCGTTAAAAAAACATTTTTTTGACAAAAAGAAAATTTATTTTTAAAAAAATATTTTTTTGTCAAAAAGTAATATTTTTGTGGTTAAAAAAGTTGTTTTTGTCAAAAGAAAAATTTTTTATTCTTAGAAAACTTTTCACTATCTGAAACAAAAATGTTTTCCTATTAAAAGACTTTTTTTTGGCAGAAGAAACATTTTTTTATTGTCGAAAACTTTTTTTTGGCAAGTAAAAATTTTTTTTCGTTTAAAAAACAGTTTTTTTTTTGCCAAAAGGAAAATTTTTTATTTGTCAAAAACTGTTTTCTGATCGAGAGAAATATTTTTTTTCTTTAAAAAACTTTTTTAGACAAAAGAAAAAAAGTTTCTAATTGTCAAAAACTTTTTTTTTGGCAAAGAGGCCACTTTTTTCCGTTTAAAAAACAGTTTTTTTTTTTGACAAAAAGAAAATTTTTTATTTGGCAAAAACTGTTTTCTGAGATTGAATGCAAAATTTTTATTGTTTAAAAAACTTTTTTCCGACAAGAGAAAAATTTTCTTTTTTTAAAAGAAGAAAATTTTTTTCGCTTTCAAAAATTTCTCTTGTTAAAAAGAATATATTTTTATTTTGAAAAATCTTTCTTTTTTGGCAAAGAAAAAAATTTTTTACAGTTTAAAACATTTTCCGGCGAAAGGAAAAATTTTTTATTCTTAAAAAACTTTTTTCTCACATTAGGAAAATTTTTTATTTGTAAAATACTTTTTTTTTGACAAAAAGAAAAATTTTTTACTTTTAAAAAACTGCCCTTTGGCAAAAGCTAATATTTTTTATGTTTAAAAAATTTTTTTTCGCAAAAGGAAAATGTTTTAATTTGTCAAACACTTTTAATGTCAAAAAGAATCATTTTTTTCGGTTAAAGAAATTTTTTCTGGCGAAAAGGAAAATTTTTTTTGTTGGCAAAAAAAAGGCAAAAAGGCAAAAGCCTTTTTGCCTTTTTTTTGCCTTTTTTTGACATTTTCGTCTTTTTTGCCTTTTCGGCAAAAAAATTTTTTTTTTCTAATGAAAAAGTGTTTCTACAAAAGGAAAAATTTCCTCCGGTGTCAAAATTTCAATATCTCAAAAATATTCACTTTCTATTTAGAAGAAAATTTTCTGCTTCCATTAAAAATTACGAGACGCAAAATGAAAAGAAAATAATTTGAAAATCAAGAAAAATAATTTGAAAAACGAACGCTTTGTAATTAATTCTAAGAGAGACTGGCGCATTAGAAGGTGAAACGTTGTACTGTAGTTGCTTTTTTTTGTGAGCGTTAATATAAAATACATTTTTTTTTGTTCATTACCAATATGACTTTTTTTTCGCAATTTTTATTTGCTATATAAATTATACAAAAAAAAAATATTGAGAGTATATTTTCAACTCTGTCCGTCCTTACAATATTACATTATACGATTCAATAAGTTTGAAATAAAAGAGGAAAAAAAAATAAGAAAACTTAGCTTACAGAAAAATTTGGAATAGATTAGAATTAGTCGGAAGGAAAACGCTAGCGGAATGCGCATTTTTTTTATTTAATTTTTTCCTTTTTTCACTATCGCGTCTTAAAAAATCAAAAAAAAATTGTAAATGTTAATTTTACAATTTTTCTTTTTTTTGCTGCATTTCGGCGTTTTTGCCTCACTCCAACTTTTTTTCACTTAAAAATAGATACTAGTTTTTTTTTCATGTCAAAAAACTTAATTAATAAATAATCAATTAAATTAGATTATATTACTAATTATTGTATGCGATAATTGATGATAATATATTAATGATTCTTATAATACTTTAAGGGAGGGGAGACACAAAATGGACTTTTGAAAAAGAAAACCTTTTTCCGTCCATACACAATTTTTTTTATAATTTTCGTGTCGTCGACAAAGAAAATCAGCCTAATTTTTTTTTTATACCTAAAACAATATGGGGGGATAATAAATAAATATTAATAATAATAATAATAGAAAAGAAAGAAAAACACTCATTCATTTTTTTTTAACTCTCACACTTTTGTAAAGTTCCTTTCTTTTTATATATATATTCATTTTTATTTATATATGTATAAAATTGGGAATTTTTTTTTTTTTTTGGACAGGGGGAGAAAAATCTAAAATTCCTAGTATTTACAAAATGATTTCTTTTTTTTCGAAATAATAATTAAGGAATAAAAATAATAAAAAATATAAATTAGACTCCACTTTTTCGTCGAAAGAAAAATAAGTGACAACTGTGGAGACTGACAAATAGAGAGAGAGTCTGCGCGGAAATTTTTTTTTTGAGGTTAGCGTCCTTTTTATCTGCGCAGACTCCATTTACAATTTTTTTTTCTTTTGTCAGTTTCTTTTGGACAATTGCGAGCATTTTTGCAGTATTTTTTCAAAAAATCATTCACTCTATTTTTTTTCTCTCAAGCATTCAACAACATTCAATTTTTTTTTATTGAAAAAAAATTTTTTTCTTTGTCTTTGTACTGAGTCACATCGCACTTAATATTCTATTATATATATAGATATATATAATTATGTATATATATTTATATAATTATTATAACGGGTGCTAAAGAGAGTGTGCAAAATAAATACGTTAGCGTTTTTTAAAAAAAATGTACAAAACGATTTTTTTCTAAAATAAAAACTTTGAGATCATTTCATTTTTCCTTTTTTTTTTAATCTCGAAAGTGTGAATTGTGCTGTAACTACACTTTTTTTTAAAAAAGAACAACTGTCGAAATGCAGTCTTTTTTTCGATTTTTGCCTGGAGCGGAAAAAACCAGAACGAATAAATAAATTAAAAAAAAATAGAAAGGGGAAAAATTAAATCTATTTTCGGAAAAATTGAGACGAAAAGTAAACTTGGTCCCAAGAATTTTCTTTTTTTTTCTTTTGCTAATATACCCCCTTGAAAAAAATGAGCATTTGTCACCTAAAAATAGATAAAAATATTCTTTTTCATTCATTGAAAAAAAGTCTTAAAAATGAGTATTTTTTTTTTCGTTCCGGTTTATCGATCCTGAACTGAGCAAAAAAGTTTTATTATAATAAGGAGGCTCGGACTTTTTTTTGTGCGCACTTTCGAGAAACGCGCTCTTTTGAACCTGACGACTAGCTAAGAATATTATTTTTTTTTTTTTTTTGAAAAAAGAAAGAAAAATTTGATGAGTGCTATTTATAAACACGGGTGCGAGAAATCGCAAAAAGTCTTAGTAGAGCAGGACGTGTAAACCGCATTGATTTTGCGGATTTTAAGCCTTGATTTGACTTCGCATTTTTTTTCCTTTAGAAAAAAGAAGAGTATAAAAAATTGGGAAGCCCCTGAAATTTTTTTTTTGGGGGGAATGATGTAGTTTTAGAGTCGAAGGTCAAAAAATGATGACCTCTTTAAAAAATGGCAGTTTGGATTGAGACAATTTTTTTTTTTGTTTTGGAGAATTTCAATCCATAGTTGATGAGGAAAAGTCGATTTTTCTTTTTTTGATTTTTTTGTTTGTTTAATTCACTGTTGACTAGATCTCGTCTTCTTTGAGCCGCGTTGGCTTCCTTTTGTTCTTGGCACTTTTCGGTTATTATGCAGTGTTGCAATTGGAAATTATTTTGTCGTTTAGGTGATTGTGGTGCTGGTGGAAGACCTCAGCATTGACTCGGTATTTGTAATTTTATCAGCACCTGGAAAAAAAATATTTTATTAGATTTTGTAGCAATTTTTTGTGTATTTACAATTTTTTTGCTTTTCCCTTTTTTTCAAAAGTATTTTTTTAAGGGTTTTTACTTTTTGCATTTATGAAAAAAATTATTATTTCTCTCGTTGTTCGACTTAGGAAAGAAAGAATTTTTAATGCTTGTTTCCTATTTTGTTGGTCGAGCCACTAATTTGACGCTACGACACGAGAAATAATGTAAATTGTAAATTTAAATTCGAAAAAGAGAGAAAAAGACGTTACAGGAATCTGTTACTGACATTTGCCAACATCGAGTCCATTTGAACACTAAGAGACGAAAAATTAGCGAAATTGCGAATTTCGGTGCGAAAAAGTTTGATAAAACCGTTACAGAAATCTGTTACCGACAATTACCGACATTTGAATCCTTTTAAATTAATTTCCTCATTCATTCCTTCACTCAACACCCACTCATTTGACGTTAGAAGACGAAAATTTGTCGGAATTTTGAGATTTTGTTCGGAAAAGTTTGAAAAAACAGTTACAGGAATCTTTTATCGACAATTACCGACATTCGAGTCCTTTAGAATTTGTCTGTCAGACACTAAGTTGACGTTAACACAGAAGAATTGACGTTAATTGAAAGTTTTTGTTGGAAAAAGATTCACAAAACCGTTACAGGAATCTTCTACCGACAATTACCGACATTGCAGTTCTTATCGACGGTACGACAAAAGAAATTAGCGAAATAAACACAAAATTTATTCTAGAACATAAAAATTATCTTCATTACAAGCATTTGTCCAAAAAAAGTTAAAAACCGATACAGGAATTTTTTATCGACAATTACCGACAATGATGTCCTTTTGAATTAATTTATCAGTCACTAAGTTGACGTTAAGGCAGCATAAATTATCTTAATTGGGAGTTTTTGTTCCATTTTACCGTTGCAATTTGAGAAATTAGCCCAACTCTTAGTTTTAGTTCAAATAAATTTAAAAAAATCCGTTACAGGAATCTTTTACCGACAATTACCGACATTAATTTCTCTTTGTATTCATTCACCAGCCAAATCATTAAACCTAGTAGAAAAGAAATTATCTTAATTGAGAAGTTTTGCCTGGATGAGTTTAATAATAACCACTAAAGGAATCTGTTACCGACAACTACCGACATTAGAGTCTTTTTGACGCTAAAACACTAGAAGTTATCGAAATAGACAGAAAATTGTCTCTAAGGCAGGAGAAATTATCTAAAATGCAATTTTTTTGCCTGACAAAGTTTAATAAAACCGTTACAGGAATCTGTTACCGACAATTACCGTCATTAGAGTTTTTTTACCCTAAAATATTAAAAATTAACAAAGTGGATATAAAATTGACTCTAGGAAAGCAGAAATTATCTAAAATTCGAGTTTTTATAGGAAAAATTTAATAAAACTGTTACAGGAATCCGTTACCGACAATTATCGACGTTCTCCTACTGTGATTTTCTTTCGTTCTTAATATTTTTTAACCTGCGTGAAAAAGATTCTTTAGTTATTTTCTACTTTGGTGGCGGACGCACTATTTTGACGCTACGACAAAGGAAATCAGTAGAATTATAATTTTTAATTGGAATGGGTTGAATAAAACCTTTACAGGAATCTGTTATCGACAAATATCGACACTGAAGTCCTTTTTCAGTAGATAAAACGGGTACAAAAATCTTTTACCCACAAGTACCGACATAAGATTCTATTTTGACGCAACAACACGAGGATTTAGCGAAATTTTACATTTAAACTTCGAAAAAAAATTGATAAAACAGTTACAGGAATCTTTTACCAGCATTTACCGACATTGAGTTCACTTTGATTTTGTCGCTTGTTTCACATACCGTCCAGTCACAAATTAATTGAATAGCGATTATAGAAAAACAATTGCAGAAATCTACTATCAGCAATTACCGACATAGTCTCTAGTCAGAAAACCCCAACAAAACTTGAAGCAAAATTTGCAATAGAAGTATAGAAAAACATATGGGTTGTATCCGTCAGTTGGTCTGAAGCGGAATCTCCTCTGCGATATTTCCTTTTGTTTTTAGTGTATCATTGAACGGTCGATACAATTAATTTAATTATTAAAAGATTGATTACAGGGTATGTTAAAGTTGCAGTAGCTGCAAATTTCCCTTTGGGAAATGGATAAAAAACGGAAAAGACTATCAGAAGTTAATTTACCTGATGATACTCCGGGACTGGAGACGGTAGTCGTCGTCTGAACGTTGGTAGTCGACGTCGTACCACTTGTACTGGTAATTCCCAATTTCCTGAGTCTCATCTTCTCCTCCCACTCCTCCCAACCGTGTTTACCACGATTGAGATTTCGATGCTGATAGAACACCAAACTGATTCTCGTTGGACTCAGTCGATTGGGTTTCTTGAGAGCCGTAGTGCAGTGCATTTCATGTTTAGCACACTCGAATAAAACACTACCATGACCGAGGGCAATGGCCACACCGCCCATTTGTGCGTCCTTGAAGCATTCCTCATTGTCGGAGAAGTCCGCAACTTCGCCAAGTGGCTCGGCCTTTGGCGGTGGATCAGGAAGAACTGGAAAATACGATGGCGGACCGTAGATCTCCCATTGAGGTTTCTCCCAACGCCAGGACGGATTTAAACCCTGATGATATGGCGGCGGCACACCTTGCGGTACTTGATACGAAGGATGGTAGTTCTCCCGCTTTTGTTGATACAATTGTGGTGTATACTCCGTTTGATGGTACTGATGATGATAGTTGTAACCCTCAAAGTTAGGGTAGGTTTTTTCGAAGACAGGGTAACCGTAATGTGGAAAGGGTCGCAAACCGGACATTGGATGATGGAAGTCCTTTACTTCCGGTTCTTGCGGCCATGTGACCCAGGGATTCTCCGGTCTCGTCTCCCGGACATCCGGAGTTTGTGGATGTCTTGGTTCTTGGGGTTTTAGAAAAGTCTTGACGAACGGATTCGGAAATATGTTCGTGTCCGCAATCGGAGTGGTTCGGGAAGGTGGTCTTCCTTTAGGAACCCGGAAGGGCGACGCCTCTTGGACTATCTGATTATGCCATTTTGGACTCTCCCTTGGCATCGAACTCTGGCGTCCGTCAGTCCAGGTGTGTTTGATCGGATCCGCGAATGGATGATGGAGATCGATCGTCTTCGTACCATCGATTGGAAGTTGATTTTGCGGTACTTGGTAAATGGATGGTAAATACTGGTTTTGTTGATAATCCCTCGGTGGGTCGACTGGTCTCTCCTTAGTTAAGAATCCCCCAGTACTTCCCTCGAAGTTGCGGAACCCTTCGGTATTTTTCACTGTTCTCTGATCATACGGATTTTGATAATCAATTCTACCCCTAACGTCCGGGTAACTTGGAGTGTTAGTAAATTTTTGCTGCTCGGGAAAACCTTTCGGACTGTACAACTCATTTGGAAGTGAAGCGTTACTATGAGAGGAAGAATTAGAAAGTGGATTGGAGTAGTAGCCGGAGCTGGAAAAAGACGCCGGGGTCCCACCTCGTGGTGGATGGTTTCTTGGCGAAAGGACTTGAGATTCCGGTGTTGAGTTTACAGTCCGCGGGGGTGTTCTATAATCGGATTCGGTGTTCTGGCTTCTGGGTCTGGTGTCATCTAGACTTGTGCTGTCGGGTACGACTTTCATTTCCCGTTCTAAACCACCGAAGTGGTACTCGTTCCAGGGATTGAGCCAATTGTTCTTTCGCTGGTCGATCCAGTTGCGGTTCCATTGCTGATCGTTCTGGTAGCCCCAGCCTTGGTACATGGAGACCGGACTGTCCAGCACTGTGGACGAGACGTGGGAACTCTGCAACTGGGCGTCCATTACTCTCGAACTCTCCATCCCGATGAATTCCGTATTCATCTCCATGTGGATCTGTGGTTCCCGTCTTTGATGTTCGGGGAAGTTCTTCAATATTTCCTTCTTGTGAACGGTCTCCGGTTCCTCTTCCTTCCGCTTCTTTCCGTGTCGTCTACAGGGCTGGAGGGGCACCGACCGGACTCGAACCTCGCACGGATATCTGTAATTCCAAACGGGATTAGTTAACTCCTTCCCTCTTTGTGACTTCTTCGGAAGGTTTTCGGTAACCTTCAGTCAACTTTCAGTCAATCTACAGTTGACAAAGTTTTCGAATTTGCTGAAATTCCCGAATGTCGTCAGTACTTACTTGTTCAGGACGTCGACGGCGCCGGCGCGGATCTTCTCCTCCTGGCCTTCCTTGGAGCCGAATTCGTCCGTATCGTCCATGATGTACAATGGCAGGACGTGCAACTGTTCGTCCTCGGGTTTCGACAGCGTTCGGTGTTTTGTTAGGCTCACAACGATCGTACAACCGTTGTTCATGTTGTGCAGATCCCGATGCGAATGGGCGCAGAAATCGATGCAAGCCGTCACCCCGGAGAATGGTCTTCCGGGTTTGAAACCCAGTCTACAGTCGCTGGCCTCTCTCTCGAATTGCGTCTGATTGTTGAAGGCCTCCGGAGCCAGGCTCAGATACAACGGCGACAGTAGAGTCGCCAACACGTGCATCCGCTCCTCCACCTCTTGCTCCTGCAAATACATTCATCGATAAATCTTGTTGTAAACAATAGTTATCTATTTTCGTTCGTTACGGTATTACTATCATAACGGACGTTTCATTAGGGGGACGATAGATAACCCGAATTTCGTCCATTGCGGTACTAAGAGCAGCAAAGATTGTCTATAATACCGTAACGGACGCTCAATGGGGGACGATAGATCACCTGAATAGGAGATTTCCCTTGAATTCCTACCTCTGATTTGACGGAAAGCCGGAACTTCCTGACAGTCTTGCTCCTAGCGTATTTGCAGCCATTGTAGTACATGGACCAGGAGCATCCAAAGGAGAAGCTCGCGCCACAGGAATCGGGATCGAGGCCCTGACAGGCGCAAGTCCTGGGCTCGTTGGTGCCACATCGTCTGGTTGTTGGGAGACCAAATCGATTGAGTTTTTGCGTTAGTAGAGAGTAGATCCGATCAGCCTCGTGGGAGGGAACACCCTCCCAAGCGACGACCGCAACTACAATCCAAGCGGTAGCACACTCATGACCTTGTCGATGTTTCACAATCGTCAGAATCTTCTCCTCCACTCCAGACCGACGAAGAATCTGTAAAAATACCCATTAGTATCTACTTCCCTAACTTTCGAAATTAGTGCAATTAGAAATTAGGGAATTGACAAATCCCGTTTCTTTTTTATCTCAAAAAATAACTCACCCATTTCGCCATCGGACAGCCCTGCGTCGTTTTGCCTTCCTTCCCAGTGTAGATGACCTTTTCGAACCTAATAGCGTTACCCTTGAGACCGGTGCGTCGTTCCAGGTCGTTTCTCAGTTCTTGAAGACTGGCTGCCGCACCGAGATGTGTGTAATACGATCCAGGTTCCGGTGGACCTTGTTTTTGGAATATTTTTACTTGACACTTGTCGTCTCTGTTTTTTTTACATCAAAAGCAGGGGTAAGCGAAAATATGCCGTCTTATTAAATCCGGCATTAAATTTCCTCTGCCCCTACTTGGTTTTTTTTTGTCTACCAGCCGTGTTTATTAGTCTCATCAAAAAAAGACGAGAAAGTATTTTTGTTGTAGGAGGGATTTTGTTAGTGTGTTCTCTCGTTGTTAGTGTTGTCGTACAACTGAATAAATGGCAACTCACATTTATCCGGAGGGAAGCAGCTGCAGTCGGGTACTTCCGTCCTCACATTATTCTTGATCTTCTCCAGCTGATCTTGCGATTTTGTGCTCGTCGAGGTAGTATTACTCTTCGGACTATTTGCTTCTTCCGTTTTAATCTCACTATCCGATTTTTCTTCCTGTTGACAAAAGTTGTTCTTCCAATTCGACGTCCGCTCTGTAATTTGCTCTCCAATTTGTTCACGAATTTGCTCTGGTTCAATTTTGATAGTTTTTGTCAGTTGATTGTGACACGTTTCTCCGTCCTCATTTGGGTCTGTTTCGATTTTTATTATCCGATTTGTATTGTAGATTTCTGGACTTTTGGAACCAGTTTCCGTGGGTTTCTTTCCAGTTTCGGGGTTGTATGTTTCGTTTACTGGATTAATTGGTCCGCCACCAGTCCACTCCCATAAGCCACCACCGTCGGGCAATTTATCGACCCGATGGTGGTGGCTATGCAATAAAAAATTACCGGTCATTGATTCACTCATCATTCCCGGATTGTAGTCACGTTTGTCCTGCAGTTTTTCGTTCTCGTGCGAATCCCGCCCTCGATCGTCGTTCGGAAATTCTTTACTACTTCCGTTGGTGTGTTGACTTCTCACTTGGTGATGCAAGTGGTGCGACTGCATCTGATTTTGCTGTTGTGATTGTTGTTGTTGGTTCTGCTGTGTCTGCAGTTGGTTCTGCTGACTTTGCATCTGGTTTTGTTGTGCCTGCAGTTGGTTCTGCTGACTTTGCATTTGGTTTTGTTGACCTTGCATTTGATTTTGGTTCTGCATTTGATTTTGGCCCTGCAGTTGATTTTGATTCTGCATTGGGTTCGGACTATGCAGTTGATTTTGGTTCTGCATTGGGCTCGGACTCTGCATTTGATTTTGATTCTGCATCGGGTTCGGACTCTGCAGTTGGTTGTGACTCTGCAATTGATTTTGGTTCTGATGTTGGTTTTGGCCTTGCAATTGATTTTGGTTCTGATGTTGGTTTTGGCCCTGCAGTTGATTTTGGTTCTGATGTTGGTTTTGGCCTTGCAGTTGATTTTGGTTCTGCAGTTGGTTTTGGCTTTGCAGATTCTGTTGACCCTGAATGGTTATTTGATTCTGCAACCTACCGGGCTGATTTTGCAGTTGGTGTTGTTTGTTGAGGATCATGGACTTGAGGCGACTGTTGAGATTGACGCGCTGATTGGATGGGTACTCCTCCGGATTATCGAACCCGTTCTTGGAGTCCTGCCAAATGATTCTCTCGCCAGAGTTCTGCATTTCTTGTTTCGAGGATTGTTGTGCCCAGGAGGGATTCTCGGCGGATCGGGGGGACCATTGTTCGAGTTTGGCCTCCTGGGGGGTGGATTGACCGGGCCAGGGGGGATTGGCGCCGGGGGTTCGCCTGGGACTCGGTTGGGAGTCCCATTGTTGCTGTTGACCACCGTCGCTTTTCATGCTGTTCGGTGACCAGTTGGGTTGACTAGTAGGCGTGTCGGGCCAGGTCATTTGATTCGATGGCGTCAGTCGGGGATTTTGTTCGACCTTCTGCTGCTGCTGTTGCTGCCATTGTCCCGAAGGTGTCAGTCTTGAATTTTGAGCGGAGTTTTGGTCCTGGGCAGAGGTGGTCTGCGGCCAAGACCCAATTCTTTGGGTGTTTTGATGTTCGGGCAGTTTCGGCGAGTGTTGGGGCCAAGCTTGTTGTTGGGACGGAGTGAGCCGGGGATTTTGCCATGTTTGGGAATTGTCTTTGTGGGAATTATCCGAACTCTCCCAGTTCATGTGACTATCGGTTCTTTCTTTTGCCGAGGTTTGTAAATCACTTTCCGACCAGGGGTTTTTGCCATCTTGGTTATTATCGGACCAAATGTGGCGAGTTTCGGTACGCTCTTGCCACTGATTTTGACCCATTTCCTGATAGCCTGGATATCCGTTAGAGTTGTGTAAACTCTGTGGGCCCTGTTGAAGTGGATACCCAGGCATCTCGTTTCCCGACACATTATTGGCGGCGATTGTCGCGAAGCCTTTCACAACCTGTGTGTCTGAGGATGGCTGTTGAGGCTGCTGAGGTTGAGAGTCCATGTGAACGGAACTGCTGCGACTGGTGGGTGTTGTCGCTGGTGGCGGTGCCATAGTCACGTCCTGAAAAGAGGATCATTCGATCTGTAACTTAAAATCGAAGCAGTGCTTTAAATAATAGGGCCCCCGGTCTTTTTTTTGGCATGAGCTGATTTAGCAAAACTCCATTTTTTTTTGTCTAAAAAGTGATTTACTGGTGGGATCTTCTGGTGGGAAAGTCGGACGACATCAAAGCATATCAAATTCCAGTGAATGGATGCTCACCTGTTGTTGATATCCATTGACATACTCCTGTCTTTCGTAACCGACTTGACCCGGAGTGACGGCTGGTTCCATAAATTGACCGTTAAGAGGTCTCTGGGGGGTGGTTGTGGTATTCTGCGGGGCGACTGTTGCCAATGGCGATGGCTGTCCGGTAATAGTATATTGGCCCGTTGATCCGGCCCGTTGGAATGCAGACTGATCGGTCGTTATGAATGTTTGTTGTTGATAGGTCACCGGTTGGGGATGATAGGGCGTCGCGGCACTATACTGCGGATGATACCTCAATTCCTCCAATTGATTCGACGCTGGGATTTGTTGAATAAACTGTTGCGGCGGCCATGTTGTTGGTGTCGCTTCAACTGTCACTGTTCCCACTCCCTGATGCCAAACCGTATTTCCAAAACCGGCTGCAGGTCGGAAACCCGTTCCACTATCACCATAGAATGGCATCACACCCGGCGACTGAAACAATTTTTCAATTCATTAGTATTCATAAAAAAATCCAAAAGAAATTGCTTTCTAAAAATTTCAATTATTCATCAAGAGGATGCTATCCTATTCTCCAGGACCTAAATAATTTAAACTTGCTCTTCACAGTTCTGAAATTCTCTTCCTCGAGGTATAAATAATACAGTAGGATTCTCTCAATATTTCTCAATCGAAAAAACATTATTCTATCTTCCAAAAAATGCGAAATTGTAAACAGCTTCTTATTTGCAATCTCGGCAATCAATTTCAAAATCTACAAGCACCATTATCTCTCTAATCTCCTCTAGGTAAATTGGTCACAACTATGTATCATTTAATCCGTTTAGTGTGTTAACCCTTCCGACATTTCCCTCTAGGTTTGTTTCCCTCTAGCGCCTCCTCTCGTTTCCCTCTCATCAGACACGATACCGAAATTAATCACCATTGAATTACAAAATCCAATTTCCGAATTAAAAAGCAAAAAAAGGTTTTCTAAATAAAAAATTTAATTTCGAATTTCCGGGGAAATTAATAATTTACAGTTAATAATTATTAATTTTCTAGAGACTCGAGGCGATGCGATGCAATGATGGCGGAAATTTTAATCGGATCCTAATATAATTTACCGCCTAACAAGTTTTGTTGCTTCGTTTCATTCTAAAATGAAATGATTATTATCATCATACAATTTCCCCTTGTTTTTTGTAAATGGATAAAAAAAATCCGCAGAGGGGATTTGAGTATTCTACTGGTATTCTCAAGTGTTGCGGACATGTCGTCGGGGTGGTAAACAGACTACTCCCTTAAAGTGGTCGTGAATCGGTGTTTGTGGTCGAGGTTGATAGCATCGAAGTCGGGCTTCTCGCCAAAGCCGGGAATTCTCTCTCTCACACTCTCTCTCTCTCTCTCTGGTTCTGGTTCTATTCAACCCTCGGATCTCTCCTCTCCAAAAGGGGGAAAATCCTTCCGTTCTCGTGCCACCGTGACCTAAGGCAACTCGATTTACCTCCGGGCGTAATATAAACGAGAGACGCCTCGACGACAGCACCCAAACAACCCTGTTCCGTTTACAACTCAAGCGGTTAATGTTCTGACATTTATCAACACACTGGATGCCATTCCCCCTTTTACCGCAATAGTTTCGAGTGATAATTTGCGATTGGATTAGAGAAAATAGAGACTGAGAGATGGAAACTAGTGATTTGGAATGTTGTCAAGAGATCAAATTGTGATGATGAGGAATACAAAGTGTGTTCTAATTTGTCTAGGTTTTTAACTTTTTCAGGATTTTTTGCTGCACAAGACTACTTCAAAAGTAACTCAAGGATACTTTAAAGCATTTTTAAGGCTAGCTTAAATTAACATTGAGGAAAGTTAACCTACAATTGCAGAAGTCAGCCATAAATTAGCCTAAAACTAGCCTTAACTTAGGCTTAAGTTTGCCTTGAGTTAGGTTCAGGTTAAGCCTAGAGTAGGCTTAAGTTAGCCTTAAGTTAGATTTAACTTAGGCCTAAGTTAGCCAAACGTTATCCTTAATCTAGTCATAACTTAGGCTTTAGCTAGTTATAACGTAGCCTTAAAGTAGCCTTAAGTTAGGCATAAGTTAGGTTTAAGTTAACCAAAAGTTAGGCTTAAGTGAATCATAATTTAGGCTTAAGTTAGCCTTAACTAAGCCACAAGTTAACCTTAACTTACCCTTAAATTAGGTTTACGTTCCGCATAAGTTAGACTTAAGCTAGTTTAAATTAAGCCATAAGCTAGGCTTAAGTTAGGTTAAAGTTAGTAATAAATTAGCCTTAAAGTAGGCTTAAGTTTGGCTTAAGTTAGTAATAAGTTAGCCTTAAACTTGCATTAAGTTAAACTAACTTAAGTCTAACTTAGGTCTAATTTAAGGCTAACTTAAGTCTAAATTAAGGCTAGTTTAAGGCTAACTTTGGCCTAACTTAAGGCTAACTTAGGTCTAACTTTAGACTAACTTAGGCCTAACTTAAGGTTAGTTTAAGGTTATCTTAAGGCTAGTTTAAGGATAATTTACGGCTAACTTAAGCCTAACTTAATACTTACATGAGACAAACTTAAGCCTAACTTAGGCCTAACTTGAGGCTTACTAAAGGCTAACTTAAGCCGAACTTGAGCCTTACTTGAGACAAACTTAAGCCTAAATTAAGGTTAGTTTAAGGCTATCTTAAGCCCACATTAGGCCTAACTTGAGGCTAACTAAAGCCTAACTGAAGGCTAACTTAGGCCTAACTTGAGGCTAACTAAAGCCTAACTTAGGACTAACTTGAGGCTAACTGAAGCCTAAATTAGGACTAACTTGAGGATAACTAAAGCCTAACTTAAGGCTAGTTTAAGAATAATTTATGGATAACTTAAGCCTAACATGAGACAAACTTAAGCCTGACTTAGGCGTAACTTGAGGCCTACTAAAGCCTAACTTAAGGCTAACTTAGGTCTAAATTTAGGCCAGCTAAAGGCTTACTTAGGCTAACTTAGGCCTAACTTGAGGCTAACTTAAGGCTAGTTTACGGCTATCTTATGACTAACTTAAGCCTAACTTAGGCTTAACTTTAGGCTAACTATATCAAGTTAGCCTTAAAGTAGCCTTAAGTTGGGCTTAATTAGCCGTAAGTTATCTGTAAAGTAGCCTTAGGTTAGGACTAAGTATGACTTAAGGTTGTTATAAGTTAGCCTTAAAATAGCCTTAAGTTGGGCTTATATTAGGCTTAAGTTAACCATAAGTTAGCCTTAAGCTAGCCTTAAGGAAACCATCAGTTAGCCTTTATTTGAGGATCAAAAAAGAAGTGTATCTAAAAAATAGATTTGCGCTCTTCTTCTCCAAATTCGATTAAGAAAGGATTAGTATTTCTTCCTTTATCATCTAATTCGGATCAGTTTTTGTTTGGGAAAAAAAAGTTCAATTTTCGACGATGATTGAAAAAGTTTTCGTAATTAAGATCCCTTTTTGCGTCACTCTCCCGCTATTTCTAACTTTTCTCAATTTCGAATTCAACCTCCACACACAAATAAACGTTCAACATTAATTTTTTGTTTTTTGATTCTCGAAATACCAAAAAAAAAATCCCCAAATTATATCGATAATATAGTTTGCTTAAAAAAGAACAATTTTGAATTAAAACACCAGAGGAGAAAAATGTATTTTTTGAAAGCAAATTAGAATTTAATAATCCAATTTACTAAACTGTAATAATGTTCAGTTGAATGAGCTTTGGGAATTTAGCGGCTTTAGAGGTGTGCATCTTGTATAATAGTCAATTGCCAACAATCAACCTGTAGTTATTGGCAATTACCACACATTTGCATCGATTATAAACTGTTAATTTTGCAATTTTCAGTTGGCAATTCCCTCTCATATTCCAAAGTGATATTCTAATCTTTTTCCACCATTTTCCTCCATAGCAGCAAGGGGGAGAAGCAAAGGTTTGGCAAAGAAAAATACAATACTTTATTTCTAATCCTTAGAGGATAGAATTTTTCGGGTGAAAAAGGAAAAAATTTCAAATTTTTGTCAAAATTGGAAAACAAAAATTGATTGAATCAGAAATAGAAGATGATTTATTAAAGGGGACATGGCACTTTGACCCTGATTGAAATCAGAGTCCACTTGACCAAACTACCATTGAGGGATGGGGAATCGTGATGAATAACTGTATTTTACTTTTTTTTTTGCTTTTTCCAATGTTGACTACCTCGTTGTGAAATGTCAGAGTCTGACACAACGTTAAAAGAAGGGGTAGACTGGCGGTAGACGCAGGCTGTGTGGCTGCGGGGGCGGTGACCGCCCGCCAACGCGAATCAATACCCGCAGGAACAGGAACCACCGACCTCTCTCGAAAAGGGGCATGAGAGGTAGAGCGAGGCTAGAGGGAGAGAGAGAGAGGGCAAACACCCCTTTTCTCTCTACTCTCTCTCTTCATCTACTCTCTTTCTCTCTCCCTCTCGTTCTCTCCTTCTCCTGTATTTCCTTCGAGATACGATTAAGGCTAGAAACCTCAAATAGGTTCTTCAAAGATGGATAGATGCTTCTCAAATCTCATTTCCCTCATCCTCAATAATATTCTCTCTCTCTCCCACCCCCTCCTCTTGAAAACTTGCCGCAGAAATTCTAGATCAATTAGGTGTGTGTCAAAATTAAATTTCATATCTGATTTTGAAACTCATCTGTTGACGATGAGAGTTGCTATCAACTTGTTAGATGATAATTGTACAGATTAAGTTTAATAATAATTGGTGGGAAAAGTTTTTGGGTGATTATAGTTGTGGCGATGATGCTGATGATGATGATAATGATAATAGGGGTCTACTAACTTTAGCATAATCGGTAGATAAAGTTTTGCTAATAATAGTGATTGTAATGATGCTGATGATGGTAAATGTGTTCGGAAAGCTAGAACTTTTTCAAAATTTCTATACGTAGGAAAAGAGTTAAAAATTGTTTTCAATCAATGGGGAAACAGAAAGAAGGATATAAAATTAAAATCAGAAGTTAGGTTTAAGATTAGATTAAGATTAGGTTAAGAGAGGCTAACCTAATAGGTTAGACCTATATTAGCATTAAACTACTAGCTCTTAGGTTAGTTAGGCTTAGGATTAGTTATGCTAAAAGTAGCCTTAAGATAGATTTAACCTAGGCTTGAGTTCGGCCTTCTTTAAGGCTATATTATGTCTCCTTAAGGCGTGATTTAAAATTAAAAAGCTTAAAAAAAAGGCTTAAAAGCTGCTCGAGGATACTTAAGATAGCCTTAAGGAAAAAACAGTTAGGCCTTAAAGAATGACCAACTTTAGCTTAACTTAAAGCAAGATTAAGCCCAACTTAAGACTAGTTTAAGGCTAATATAAGACTAACTTAAGGCTAGTATAAGACTAACTTAAGGCTAACTTGAAGCTTCCTTAAAGGTAGCTTAAGGCTATCTTATGGCTATTATAAGGCCAACTAAAGGCTATAACTTAAAGGCTTAAAGGCTTCCTAAAGGCCAACTTATTAAACTATCCTTAAGTTAGGCTTACGTTAGCCGTAGGTTAGGCTTAAGTTGACCTTAAAGTAACCTCAAGTTAGGCTTATGTTAGCCTTAATTAGGCTAACATAAGCCTCAGTTAGGCTTAAGGTAGTTCTAAGTTAGCCTTAAACTGGCCTTAAGTAAGGCCTAAATAAGGACTAAGTTAGCCATAAAATTGACTTAAGTTAGGCTGAAGTGAGCCATAAATTAGGCTTCAGTTAGAATTTAACTCGCCTTAAGTTAGGCCTAAGTTAGGCTTATATCAGGCTTATTTGAGTTATAAGTTAGGCTTAAGCTAGCCTTCAGTAGTGCTTAAGTTAGCCATAAGTTAGGCTTAAGATAGAATTAAACTAGCCTTAATTTCGGCCTAAGTTAGGCTTAAGTTAGGATTAAGTTAGACTTAAACTAGCCTTAAGTAGGGCTTAAATTAGTCATAAGTTATGCTTAACTTAGTTGTAAATTAGCCTTAACTTGGCTTAAGGTGGGCTTAAGGTAGCCATAAATTATGCTTAAGATAGAATTAAGTTAGCCTTAAGTTTGGCCTAAGTTAGGCTTAAGTTAGGCTCAAGTTATGCTTAAGTTAGCCTTAACTAGGCTTAAGTTAGCTATAAGATATCCTTAAGGAATCCTCAAGTTAGACTTAAGTTATCCTTAAGTTAGTCCTCAGTTAGGCTTAAGTTTGTTATAAGTTAACCTTAACTAGATTAAGGCTGATTTATAACTAACATAACCCTAGGCTTCAGTTAGCCATAAGTTGGCATTAAACTAGTCTTAAGTTAGGCCTTAGTTAGGCTTAAGATAGCCTATAACTAGCGTTAATTCTGCCGTCCAAAGTAAAAACATAGTAAGTTGCATTGGTCCTAAGGTTGAAAGTCCTCAAATTAGCCTTAAGTTAGGGCTAAATTAGGCTTAAGATATATTTAAGTTAGGGCTAAGTTAGGGCTAAGTTAGGCTTAAGTTATACTTAAGTTAGGCTAAAAGTAGTTATAAATTAGGCCTAAGTTAGGCTTAAGGTAGTAATAAGTTAACCTTAAACTTTCTTAAAGTTAGGCTTAAGCTAGCTATAAGTTGCCCTTAAACTAGCCTCAAGTTAGGATTAAGTTAGCCTAAAGAAAGTCTTAAGTTATCCTTCAAGTTAGCTTTAAAGTATCCTTAAGCTAACCTTAACGAAACCACAAATTAGCCTTAAAGTAGCCTTAAGACATCCTTAACTGATAGTCTCAAAGAAGCCTCAAACAAACAGAAATAAATGTTCAAAATCGAGACCAAAATGAAAAGAACAACAACAAGAAGCTGAAGCTGAAGAAGAACAACAATAAAAAGAACAAGAAGAAAAGAAGGAACAAGAAAAAACAAAGAAGAAGCGCTTTTAAAACAAACAAAAAGTATCGAGACCAACAAACAAAAGGTGGACCCGCAAAAAAAGCAGAAGAAACTCTTGAAACAGCAAAAGCCAAATTGAAAACAATAAGAAGAAAAAAAAGAAGAAGAGGGAGGAGGAGAAGCATCAGCAGCATTTGTTAAAGAATGTTGTTCTCGATAACGTGAGGGAGACTCTTGTCGTTGACCTTGAAGACCGACGAAGGTCATTCTTGTAGAAGAAACCCTTGTGCCTCACTAAAGTAAAGAATTCTACAACTAAGGGGTTTTTTTTCCAGATCTGTTATAAGCTTGTGCCATAAATAAAGTCCCTACTGTACATACACGTCCGCACATACGAACATTTAGTTAAAATCGCGAAAAATTGAAAATTTGTATCGCAACGGTCTTTTTTAACTCTTTCCTAACTTTTTAATAACAAAATACAACAAATTTTTATATTCATAAGAAACATTAGTAGAGAATTATATTTTAAGATGCATGTGTGTATTCATATAAACACAGTGAAAACGTGCATATAGATGGTTGAGTGGTTGGATAGTGGAGTAAACAGACGGCGCGAGCAGACTGGTTTGCCCAGTAACCTCGCACTCACTCGGCATTCAAGTGCATACCACTATAGATATATGTGCGAGCCCAAGTGAAGAGGATCAAGATACCCACTCGAGTCCATTGCGAATTGCCAGAGCGAGAGAGTGCGAGAGAGAGAGAGAGAGAGAGAGAGAGAGAGAAAGAGGGGGAGAATAAAACAGCATTCCATTCGAAACCGTCGTCTCATGTCTCCCCTTTTTTCTCATTCCGCTCTTTTCTTATCTCCATTCCCACTTCCCTTTTCCAACCCTCTTTTTCACTTTCGAAAAAGAAAGTCCACTTCCGAGTCTGTCTGATCTGCTATCACGGATTTTCCACTGACCCAGAGAAAGAGAATTCGTCTACTCAATATCTTATTGGCTTAAAGGTGGATTAAAGGTACTCTAGATTGGTCTGGTCTAGACTTTTCCATTTTACTTTTTTCCTAGTCAACTGGTCAGAAACTAGAATAGACTTGGCAGAAACTAGACTAGAAGGGGCAAAAAATAAAATAGAATATGCAAAAAATAAAAAAGAGTTATCGAAAACTAGACTAGAGTGGGGAAAATAACACTAAACTGGGTAAAAACTAGACTAGAATGGGCAAAAACTAGACTAGACTGGAGAAAATTACACTAGAATCGACAAAAAGTAGACTAGACTGGGCAAAAATTAAACTAGACTTGGAAAAAATCAAAGTAAACTAGGCAAAATGTAGACTAGAAACTTTTTTCTTCAGTCTAGTCTACTTTTTTTCCATTCTAGTCTACTTTCTGTCCAGTCTAGTGTAATTTTTGCCCAGTCCAGTCTCCTTTTTGCACATTCTAGTCAAGTTTTTGTCTAGCCTAGTGTAATTTTCCACAGTCTAGTCTAGTTTTTGCCCAGTCTAGTATCATTTTCTCAAGTCTAGTCTAGTTTTTGCCCAGTCTAGTATCATTTTCTCAAGTCTAGTCTAGTGTATTTTTCCCCAGTCTAGACTAGTGTAATTTTTCCCAGTCTAGTCTAGTTTTTGTCCAGTCTAGTATCATATTCCCCAGTCTAGTCTAGTTTTTGCCCAGTCTAGTATCATTTTCTCAAGTCTAGTCTAGTGTATTTTTCCCCAGTCTAGACTAGTGTAATTTTTCCTAGTCTAGTCTAGTTTTTGTCCAGTCTAGTATCATATTCCCCAGTCTAGTCTAGTTTTTGCCCAGTCTAGTATCATTTTCTCAAGTCTAGTCTAGTGTTTTTTTCCCCAGTCTAGTATAATTTTTCCTACTCTAGTTTCTACACATTCTAGTTTAATTTTTGTCCAGTCTAGTATAATTTTCCCCAATCTAGTCTAGTTTTTGCACATTCTAATCTAGTTTTTGCCCAGTCTAGTATCATTTTCTCAAGTCTAGTCTAGTGTAATTTTCCCCAGTCTAGTCTAGTTTTTGCCCAGTCTAGTGTAATTTTCCCCAGTCTAGTCTAGTTTTTGCCCAGTCTAGTATAATTTTCCCACGTCCAGTCTAGTGTAATTTTCCCCAGTCTAGACTAATGTAATTTTCCCCCGTCTAGTCTAGTTTTTGCATATGCTAGTCTAGAGTAATTTTTCCTAGTCTAGTTCTTGTCCAATCTAGTTTAGTTTTTGCCCAGTCTAGGGTAATTTTTCTCAGTCTAATCTAGTTTTTGTCCACTCCAGTCTACTTTTTCCCAGTCCAGTATACTTTTTCCTTCACTAGTTTCTAGACATTCTAGTTTAATTTTTGTCCAGTCTAGTATAATTTTCCCTAACCTAGTCTAGTTTTTGCACATTCTAATCTAGTTTTTGTCCAGTCTAGTGTAATTTTCCCCAGTCTAGTCTAGTTTTTGCACATTCTAGTCTAGCTTTTGCTCTCCTAGTCTAGTTGATCCCCATTTCTCTCTAACCTCTAGTACCCTTAGAAAAAAATTTTTTTCTCTTTTTAAAAAATCAAACTCACCATGGAGACAACCGGAGCGGCAGTATTTCCGTTCCTGAGACCCGTTTGTTGACTCGGTGGATTAAGCTGATCCTTGGCCTGCATTGGATCGGAATGTATTGCCGGTTGTGTTTGTTGTTGTTGTTGCTGTTGCTGCTGTTGTTGTTGCTGCTGTTGCTGTTGTTGTTGCTGCTGTTGTTGCTGTTGCTGCTGCTGATGAGGCAGTCCACCAATTCCTGCTTGCGGACTTCCTAGACCCGCCGGCGCACTGTCCGGCGTACTAACTTGTCGTGCAATTTTTCTATAACTCTGCAAAAACAAAGGAATTGTTTCAATAAATACAAATAGTAAAAAATTAATAAATAGATTTAATTTGAATAAATTAAAAATAATTTTTTTTTTGCTTTTAGATGACAAAAAATATTTAAATTTAAAAAAGCCCGCGTTAGAATTGATTGACAGAGGGCGCTATTGACTTTCTCACAAGCGGTAATATTTTACATGAAATTATAGTACTAATCGTAAAAGTAATAATAAAAATAGTAAATAATAATAATAGTGATAATAATAATGATCGTAATAATAATAAAAATATTAAATACTGATAACATTTAATCAAAAAATTTTTTTTTTGTTTAATTTTCTTTTTCACGTATCTAAGCAAAAAAAGAGAAAAAGATCCAAAGCTTGACCCCAATACTAAATATAACTTCAAGTAGGCCGTAAGTATATGTGGTTAAATATTCTATAGTCAAAATTATATTTGCAAACAGAATAAATTAACGCCTTTCGAATTCCCTTTATTGTCAAGAGCGACGAACTTGAAAGTTGAGAGAGAGAAACAAACGTCATGTTCATTTGTTCGACCAGCTCTTTTTTTGTCACGTTAATTAATTCTTAAAATTAAATTAGTGAATGTTTCTCTTTTTAATGACGAGAGTGAATTTTATAAATATTTATTATTTTTTTTATCGCTTCTTTTATTTTCAAAATTCATTATTATTAATAAAATTGTTTTTAAATTCATAATTATTGATAAAATTATTTTTATCAATAAAAATTTATTCTTTTTCATTAAAAAAGTGTTTTTCTTTATAATTTTTTTCTGTATCAATTTTTTTTTTTGCTTTTTATTTATATAATATTATAATTTTTTTCCCTTGAAAAATTACTAGTTATTTTTTTAAAATAAAATTTTTTTTCTCTGATTTTCTTCACACAAAGTTTTTCTTTATTACTCAAATTTTGCTTCGCAGGAATAGAAAATAAAGGAATATTTAAAAAATTTTCATTTTGTAATTTTTATTGAAAGAAAATTGCATTATTCATTTTTTGTTTAAAATAATAAATAAAGAAAAATTAATTCTTTAATGTGCTGATGAAATAATAGCTCAATTACTCGTTCAATAACTCGGATTTGGTTCAATAAGCGAATGCATTCAGTAATAAAGGTTGCGTGCTGATGTGAATTAAATAATATAAATATAGCCATCGAAGAAATGTAATTTTAGTTATTTCTAATTCAATATTTACTTTTTATTGACATATCGTATAGCTTATCGTTACGTATTAATAGTTTTCATCTCTTTTTTCTTTTCCCTCTTATTTTTACTTTACAATATTAATTTATCTCTTTGTGGATTAATTTATTTAGTTACAATTAAAAGCACAAAAAATAAGATTTATTTACAATTAAAAGCACAAAAAAATAAGATTTATTTTTTAATTTAATTTATCAAATCATTGATAATAATTAATAATTAAAAATTAATAACTGATAATTAATAATAAATAATTGAAAATTAATAATTAATAATAATAATACACTATTGTAATTGATTATTCAATTATAATTCATCTTTTTTCTGCAATAATAACTTCAAATATTACCGCTTGCGAGAAAGTCAATGGCGCCCTCTGGCAATTAATTCTAACGCGGGCTTTTTCAAATCTTCAAAATTATTTTTTTTCCTTTTTAGTAAAAAAATTTAGCGTTGTGTTGTTATTATTATTATTATTGAAGAATAAATTAAAACTTTCTGTAAAAATGAAAAAAAATTATTATTATTATTATTAATAGTAAGTAAGTAAAAAAATTAATAAAAAATAAAGAATGAATAAATAAAAAAAAAAATAATTACAAAATTTACTCCGTCTCGTGAATTAGCAAAAAAAAAAGAAAAAATCTTTACCCTCGAAAAATTGCCAAACTCTCATCTTCTCTTTTTTTGCGATAAATGTAAATATTAAAAAAAAATTCTCGTCAGGCAAACGAAAGAAGGAAAAAAAAAATATTGCAAAATTTACTTTATGTATTTTCATCTCATATTTGCTTGCCTGCCCGACATTTAATGTCCGCGCGCACAAAATGACTTCAGTTAAGACCGGAAATGCGAACTTATTGCCGAGGCACCCTCTTCTCTCTCTCTCTGTCTCTCTTTCTCTCTCTTTCTCTCTCTAAAGAAATTGAGTGGCTGTGCAATTACAATCCCGTACCGTAAAATGCCAGACTCATCAAATAAATGAAATTGCTTTTTTTATTCTTAAAATATATTAACATTTAATCTTGAGGTTAAGAAAGAGAAAAAAAATAATAGAGAAAATAAATTTTTAACCAAGGAGATTTTAATTATTTTATATTTAAATTTTCATTTCTCTGTTTTCTTTCTCGTGGTGAAAAAAAAAATCAGTGAACAATTACCACTAGCGAGAGAGTTAATGGCGTCCTTTGTCAATTAATTTCAACGCGGGATTTTTGAAAAGATAAAATTTATTTTTTCGTTTTTGGTCAATTCGCTTTATTTATTTATTATTATTACAATTATTATTATTATTTATTATTATTATTTTATTAATATTATTATTATTATTAATATTTCTATATTATAATTAGGTTTAATATCAAAATATTCTAATTATTAGAATAATTTGACTGAAATATTACTGCTTGCGAGAAAGTCAGTGGCGCCCTCTACTAATCAATTTTTACGCGGGCTTTTTGAAAATTAAAAATTTCTTTTTCCTTCTTTTATTGATTTTCTTTATTTATTGTCATTTTCTTATCATTTTAATTATTCTCATTATCATTATGGTTATTAATATAATTATTATTATTATCATTATCAATATTATTATTATTAAAAAAGATTTTTTTAATAAATATTATTATTATAATTACTCTCGTTACTATTTTTAAAATTATTATTTAGTAGGGAAAAAAGATCGTTAGCCAAAAAACTCATCAATAAAAAGAAAAAACTTTAGGAGAAAAACGTGAATGAGCGAATATACTTCATCCCTTTCAATTTTAATGACGTGAAACATTTTTTAGCCAGGAAAAGTACGATAAAAGAATTGCATTAAAAAAATGGTTTCTCATTATTTAGTTTCAAAAAAAATAAAAAGAAAAAATTAATAAGGAAGAAAAATATGTACGTTTTTCATTTACCCTTCCCCCCCAAAAAAATAAAGTACTTTTGAGTAAAGAATTTTTAATTATAATTTTAAAAATAGAATTTTAATTGTAAATTTTAGTGAAATGTGAAACTTTAAATGAAATATGTCATTTTGAAGAACAAATTAGTGAAATATAATTTTATGAAAAGCTTTATTAACAATTTTTGAAAATAAATAATTTGAAAACATTTTTGAAATTTACATTTAAAAACCATTTTTGTGAAAAATGAAAAATAAATTAAAAACAATTTTGAAAAAATTTGTGAAATTTGGAAATTAAAAAAATGAAATTTTCGATTTTGTTTCTAAAATTCAAAAATAAAATCCAAAAGTTTTAATTTTATTTTAAAAATTCTAAAAGAAAAACTGGAAAATTCAATTTTGTTTCAAAAATATTCCAAAAGAAGAAAAAATTAACTTTGTTTCGAAAGTTTTTGAAATAGAATAGAATTTTTTAATTTTGTTTCAAACTTTCAAAAATAAAAAAATTTTAATTCTTGTTTCAAAAATTTCAAAAATTAAGAAAAACTTTTTTAATTTATTTCTAAAAATTCGAAAATAAAATCTTAAAATTTAAATTCTATTTTTGAAATACTAAAATAAAATCAAAAATTAAATTCTGCTTCTAGAATTCTAAAATAAAAACGAAATTTTTTAAAATTGTTTCTAAAATTCAAAAATAAGAAAATACTTTAATTTCATTTGTTTAATTGTAAAATTAAAACAAAAATTTTCAAATTTGTTTCTAAATTCTAAAAAAAGCCAACTTTTAAACTTTCTTTAAAAAATTTTCAAGTTTATAACGAATTTTTAAATTTTAATTCAAAATTCTCGAATTTTTCAAAAATTTTCAAAAATAAATAAAAAACTTTTTAATCTTCTTTCAAAAATTTTAAAAATAAAAACAATCTTTAATTTTCTTTCCAAAAATTCAAAAATAAAAACAAAATTTAATATAAAATTATCAATTTTAACTAAATAAAAATTTTATTTCCAAAAATTAATTTCCAAAAATTAAAAATTATCTAGAAATATTTTTCTTATTCAATAAAAGAACAAAAGAACTATTTTTTCGAAAATAATAAAATCAATTATCCCACAAATATTCGCCGTTTCCTTCTTTTCTCTATTATTCAAACAAAAAATCCACATAAAAGAATCAGGTAAATTTACCTTCAAAAAAAGGGAAAAAAATAATAGATCCCTTTATTTGTCGGAAGTTCGGCAGAAATTCATCATAAAAATATTAATAAAAAAAAAATGCGTTCAGCTAAAAATCACAATTGATATTTAAGAAATTGCTTCGGATAAATTCTTTGAAACGTGAAATTCTTTTTTGACAACGTCAATCATATTTCTTTTCAACTCAAAAATACCCACCACCACACCGCACCGATAGTATTTTAGAAATAAAAAAAAAAAGAAAAGAAAAGAAAAACCAAGGGGAATCCCTCCTTAAGTTTCTATGCCCAGGGGGTGAAAGGGAAGGGGGGGAATCCCCTCAGTTTTGAAACACGTGACTATCCACGTGGTTCTTTTTTTACCCCCACCACTTCCAAAAAACGAGGCTTTTTTTACCCCCACTCCACTTTTTTGGAAAAATTCCCGGAAATTTAATTTAAAAAAGTGATTACAAATTTTTTTTCCTCAATTAATTAAGATATGAAACAAAAAATTTGCGAAAATCTCTTACCAACCGAGGGTAAAAATCCTTTTTTTTATAACTTTAGATCAAATTTTACACTCGCGGATAATTTTTTTCTTTTACTTTCTTTACACAATTTTTTGCACCAAAAAAAAAAAATAATATTTTCACTAAAAAAACAGTTTTCTTTTTACTCTTTTTGCAAAAT